TCCTTATTCAAACAAAAAATGGGAGAACAGAATTTTTCTAAATTATTTATATCTCATCGCATCATCCATCAAGAAAATCTATGTGCAAAAGCTATGCAATTAGAAAATGTAATGTCTGTCGTATCCAACTACATAGTGCTGTTTTTATTGTGTTTAAAGTCACTTAGATTTTATAAATAGGTGAGCCGTTCACAGCCCGGCACACGCATTTGTAAAATCTAAGTGACTCATACAACATGGAATTCATATAAAACGGAATAATCAACAGTGTTATAGGGGAAGTCGACTGTAGTAATTAATTTCTTTTTATTTATTTATTTCATATTTGCAGACTAAAAATTTACAGGTCACAAGGTGTCAATTAACTACTATGGCCCGCGGAAAAAACGTAAAATTTATTCTGGCCCATATTATAAAAAAGGTTGCCCACCCTTGGCCTATATTATAAACTAATTGCATAATATACTATTAACTTGTATGTTTTAGTCTTGCTAATTTTATTATTATTAACCAACTAACTATAAGTGGAGTTGACTTGAATTGTAATATCTCAAAGTGTGGATCTACTTCTTTCAATTTGATAACATCTTGGCAAAAATGACAGATGCTAACATTTCGTAATTGCATAAATGACCTTTTGATTTTAACTGACTTAAAATCAAAAGGTCACTTGCCAATATTTTTATATAATGAAGAAAATGTGGTCATATTAAGTTTTTCAAAATAATTTTCTTAAATAACAAAAATACAGTTTTTGTAAAAGGCTCCTCTACCATTGTTTAAAATTTGTAATATATTTATAGCATGTTGTTCTCACCAAAAACAGTTCTGCATTCTATCTATTTTAATTTGTACAAGGTTCTTTGATTTGAAATAAGTTTATTAAATACAATATTTATCATAAATTCTTAATTTACATTATATTGCAATATATTTATTTTAAAAGAAATAAAACTGTGGATCATAATAAAATTCTTAACAAAATAAAAAAATTCATAAATATAAACTGTTATTTGCTAATTACAAACTGATTTAATTCCAAATTTATAACTTTTATTAATAAAATAGTAGATAATATTTTTAATAAAAATGATAAGCAAGTATGTATTAATTAATAACCAAATAAGCAATATTATGGACTAATATAACCACTTTAAAGATTTAAATTATCTTAAAATAAACACATTTTATATATAAGATATAACAATTTATTTTTTTAAGGTAGTTAAATTTCTTATATAATTTTGTAAATCAAAGACTCTCTTTATTTATAGAATTTTGATTAATTGTATGATTTGTAATAACACATTTTTCAGCTTGCTTTAGAGACAACATAACTTCAGCACATCCCTTTAGTAATGTACAAAGCTGTATACTCCTATTAATATTTTGGCAAGTCTTCAATTGTTCAGTTGCCCACTTCATTTTTTCTCTAACTACCATCAATGAGTCAGCAAAACAAACTTGCAAACTATTGTCACTCAGTTCTGGTAATTTGTCTCCTAGTAAACTTGATATAACATGAGATGATTTTGATGTAGTTAACAATGGAGAATGCTTAGCTTTAACAGATCTAGTGGACATATTTAAATATGATGACTCACTCGAAGTACTTGGAACCGGATCGTCGTTAATTATTAAAGAATAATGGACTTCTTCAGCTTTTTTCCGGGCAGCTTCATTGCTTAAAGCTAAAGAAAAATATACATGTATTATGTTGTATAAATTCTTAGATTTTACACACACACACACACAAAAGAATTCTCATTAGTCAGTCTAATATAATTGCCTTTCAATGAAAAATTCATATTTCTAAAATACATTAAAAACATTAAAAGACAAAGTTTCTATTGACTTTTCTTAAATCTAAAAGGAATAACAAAATTAAATCCAACTGTAAGAATTCCAGTTATAATCAAATATATTAATAATGCTGATATGATATAAAGAGAATGTTAACAGAGCAAAAAATTGTAAAACCAGTATATCTTTGTGAAAAAATTTATTTAATTAAATATGATATTTTGTTGAATTCCTTATACATAGTTATGTAATTAAATACTATCCAAACAATACTGAACTTTGAATGTGCCAACTGTTAATGTTAAAATATTAATTTATTTGTCTTATTCAATTTAATAGTTTCTAAAAGAAAACTAAAACAAGCTTTGTTATTACCATTTTAATTACAAAACAATTTAACCAGATTAATTTGTTATAGGATTCTGTAAATCCCATATACACAACAACATTCATTAGAGGACATAAAAGAAATATGGCCAAAGTACAGAATATAAAACTACAATTTCTTGAAATATAAACTAATAAGCCAAAAATTAGAATAAATAATTTTGATCTTAAAATTTAAGCTTAATAATTGTTTTAACAATCATTTTTTAAAATTCTAATTGAATTATTCCAATATAAATGAGTTTAGTTAAGTAAAATGCAATATAAAATTTCATTGAAACCTTGCCAAAAGAAATTCAAAAACTACAAGGGTTGTCCAGAAAGTAATACCCATTTGTTCATACTGTATGTTTCTATATTCAACAGTTGACTGAATAGTGAGAAAATGATGTTTCTAAGTAGACTGTTGAGTTGTCCATTGAGACTAGTGATGTCAGCACTGTTTCACTGTCAAGCTCAACGATCTGAAAGACTGTTGAGTATTCAACAAACTAACATGGCGGCTTCCATGAAACAAGTAAATTTTTTGTACAGAAATTATCAATTCACTCTTGCTGTGGATGATGTAATAGCAGATGGATTATTGAAAGGTTTTTTAAAAAATTTTTTTTAAATTTTTATCATTTTAATTGGATATAATTTTTAAAAAGGAACTGGTGATATACAGACATCTTGCTTTCCATCATATAGGGTGTTTCTGCTTTTATCTACTGGAACAAGTGCTGGAAAATGCAGATTTTGGAAACTTCCCCCTGGTGATGATATATTCCAATTTTTCTTTTGTAAATTTTTTATAATTTTAATTGGATAGATTTGTTTTTTTTAAAGGACTTCTTTTTTTTAAATTCTGGCGACAGACTATAAAGGAAGGTCTGTCGCCATGAATGTGTAGTCTGGAACATAAGAAATAAATGGTGGTCCCTTTGGGGCAGACTTAGTCTTTAATTTTATTAACATTTTTTATTGCCAATTTTACAGATGTGTGGACAGATGCCATGATTAAATTACTGATTTCACAGAGACTGGCAATTGAGGAGCAGTTTGGAAAACAGGAAAATAAAAAAAAATTGTGGATAAAAATGCAAGGGATATTGGAGTCATAAGGATATGATTTAACTACAGAAGATTGTGACTCATATGAAGTGGAGAAATTTGGTGGCAACATATAGAAAAACAAAGACAGGGCTAGAAAGAGTGGTGAAGGTTGCATAACCTGGCCATATTTTCAACTTTTGGATAAAATATATGGTTATAAAACTAATATATCTCCTTCAGCAGAAACACTACTGTCTTCTCTTCCCAGCTCTATCTACTCCCAACAACCTTTACCTATTGACAAATCAAATTTTTCCAAAAACTCTGCTATTACAACTACTTCTTGTCACAATTCTCCATCATCATCTACTGACCAAAGTGATACCCCACATCCAAAAAATCAAAAACTGTCAAAAAAAGAAGCTCCAGCATGGTTTAAGAAATATATTGAAAATAAGAAAAAAGAAGATAAAGAAGAAAGAGAAGAGAGACGTTAGAGGAAGTTCCAAAAGATGGAAGAAGAGAAACTTAAAGTTATGAAGCAATTATTAGAAATACAAAAAAAAAAATAACTGAAATGCTTTTATGTACATATTTTTATACAAAATAAATAAATGCTGTTTATAACTAATTTTGATTTATTCTTTAATTTGTGGATTATCTAGATATAAACTTTAGAGGGAAGTTTTAGGGAGGTTTCAGCATATTCAATTTCTTGGTTATTATTACTGGTTCTTGGTATTGTATGTATATTTTAAATTTAAGATGAACGGTGTTTTACCAACATTGCAAAGGCTCATGGACAGTATCTTTATTTTGATAAAACACTTTTTTCTGTAGATTCAATAGATTTCAGCCAGTATAGAGATAAACATAGTTGATATCTTTTAGATTATATTAAACATTTATTCTATAAGATTTAAATTGCAATGTTTATAAATCACATAATTCATAAGAAGTTACTGATTATGTATACTAATAAATATTTTATTAATGTAGTGCTCATCTGTTTGACAAACTTAGGGCAGGTAGACAGAGATTACAATTTCATTACTTTTACTCTCATTATATAAGAGTAAATTTTATTATANGTAGTGCTTATCTGTTTGACAAACTTGGGGCAAGTACACAAAGATTACAATTTCATTACTTTTTCTCTCCTTATATAACAGTAAGTTTTATTACATTACAGAAACCTACATGTTAAATATATATAACAATTCTAATACATAAGAGAAATTTGTTTGCTAAATTACATTAACAATTTGCCAGTAAAAATAATCTATTAGCAATATGTTCTCTTTTTTTACTGCATCATCTCTAGTCACTTCTGGTCTTTAAGGAAAATTTCTGGAGGCAGCTGCATTCCAAGGTTATGCAGAATCATTATCAAACATCTAAAAATTCGTCATTTTCTAATATACATAAATTATGTAGAATACAGGCTGTTACGATAACTTGGGAGATTTGATCAACTTGAAACATAAACAAATGATTTAGTCTTTGAAATCGCCCAAATAACTGTCCAAATGCTTGTTCGATGACTACCCTACTTGAACTTAAAATTTTATTGAAAAGTTTCTCTTTTCTTGTCAAATGTCTTTATAAGATACCATCATATTTAAAGAAAGTGAATAAGCTCCATCTCCAAGGAGATGGGCCCTTTCCAGAATCATATGAGGGTTTTTTCCAGGACTTCACACAGTGGTGGGTTACAACAAATTCTGCAATCATGAGAAGACCCTGGCTACCCAGTAAACACATCCATTAAACAATAATTTAGTGTCACACACAGCTTGGAGAATTGTGGATGTATATTGTTTTCTATTAAAATAAGCATTTTTTGAAGCTTTTGCAGCTGATGTTGATATGAGCTCCATCTATGCAACCAATTATATCAAAGAAGGTCAAATTTCTCTTAAGAAGGTCAAATTTCTCTTAAGGTCTCAAAGTTCCTTAGGGTACTTGTAGCTGTTTTGTCTTAAGGTCTAAAATTATTTTGTTTGGCCTAAACAAGGAGACAGTTTTAATAAAATATACAAATTCTCTACAGGCATAACCTTCGCTTAGTCCAAATCTATCTGCAACGCCACAAAACGACTCCTGGTTTCCTAGTAACCATAGTGACATCAACACAACTGTTTGTAGTGATGTATCTTTGAGTCCAGTTCAACCAGAGCCAGTCCTTTCTTCAGGAAACTGTTCCATTAACCTCTAAAATAAAATATTATATTATAGTATAACAATTATTTATTTTTAAATATTAATAAAAAGCTAAAAATGCCAAATAAAGCAATTTTTCTATAGATAGTTACTACAGCTAACAATTCTTAGCAGAGACTTACTTTGACAGTGCTTGTAGAAAGATGAAAATGAGACCTAAAGTCCATATCGCTGTATCTGGAAACGACATTTTTGACATAGCCTTCTATTTTGGCTTTCTTCGATTTTTCAACTGAAGCAGCATACAGAAATGGAATATCTTCGTTATCTGTTTTTGATTTAAAAAACATCTCATAACCCCCTCTACTCTCAGAAATACTATTTAACAAAACAGTCAAAATCAGCACCTTCTCGTTACTTAAGTCAGCCATCTTGAAAACTGACTCTCAATGAAAGCATTTCTTTTTCTACAAAACATGACATCAGATTGTTCAATGGAGGGACTCAATGGAAAATTCAGTGTTGAATCAACCGTTAAATATAGAAACATATGGATAGATGGCATTATAGGTAACAGATGTCAAGCAGTGTTTGTGCAAATTCTGAGGTTTCATTGCTCAATGAGGTGGTTTAGTTTGAAGTTAGTAACATGGGAATAACGGCACTTTCCACTATTGTTAACAATTTTTATAAACTTTCAAAATTAATGCTTCTAAAATGCATCCAAAACATAATAGTAAATCTAGCAGTGGAGATAAATGCAAGTATTGCTCTATTACCATGGAAACTAAACTGGACATTTTAAAAGTAAGTACATTAGGTGAAAAAAAACTATGTTTGAAACAACAACTACTAAGCAGTAGCAAGCAGGTAAACAAGCATAATGTATTTTATTAATTACATTGAAGGATCAAACACTAACAATAAATGGTTATTCTGTGTACAAATGTATTTTCAAGCAGGGCTGCAGAGTTGGTAAAAATCACTTGACTCCAACTCCTGATAATTTTAGTAGGCTGACTCTGACTCCCGCAAAATTAAATACCAAGTCATTTTATGGGGGCAGAGGTGCTCATAGAGGTACCCTACTCTGAACTCTAAAAGGAGCCCAGGGCATTTACTCAAATATTTTTATAATTAGTATTTTTAATATTTAACTTACATTAATATTTATTTGTATTAGAAAATTAATTTTTAACAAATATTTAATAAGAAGAGAAAGGGGGGCAATAAAATTCTGCATCTATATATCTTTATTCTATAGCATTTGCACTTCAATTTCACCCTTCCAGAAAAGTTTGTC